AATATAAACCAAAATAGCCATAATATCATGCTATCCATAAGGGTTTGACACTTGTGCCAACAAAACCTTTTGCTGTAGAATTCTGCTGTTACAGGGGCCTGAACTGGTATGATAGGAATGTTTGCCATAAAAAGGATTTCCTTTTCCAGAGGCGTAATTTGACTTTCCTATGTTGGGCAGAGCTTGTGTCCCTTATGAAACTTTTTTCCTTCTCAAGAAGTGCATTATGTACTTTTTATTTATGGTGTTTCTTGTAGAAGTTAAGCTAAGCTTCTTTAATAATATGGGTGGAAACAGCAGAATGAGGCAGTTACTTTCATATTTTATATATTTATTTTGTTTGTTTTATTTTTCTCTCAAAGAGCATCAGAATTATTCTTTAGCATATATTATTTCATTTGTATTTAAATGGTTTAAATGAAGTTTTCAACTACATTTATATAAAATTCTAGACCTCCTAGCTTTCTCAGTGTTTCTTTGAGAAGTAGAAAACATTGCAAGTGCTTGTCTTCAGTATGGGTTAGTAAATTGCTGCTGTTTTATTATCTGGAAAGTTTTTAAAAGGACAAATACTTATTTCAAAAGCAGCTAATGTGAATTCTTTCCATAACTCTTTTTTGGATAAACCCCCATATTTTGTTTCCAGAATTTTACGAAAAATGCATGGGAAAAAGGGATCTAGTTAACCCTATTTCTTTGTTTCGCTGCTAGACTACCTTTTTGCATGACATCTTGCACCTCAGAAATATGCAAATATTTGGATATTGCTTCATGCCTGACCTGAATTTAGGAAATATTAAAGGTCAGCCTCTAATCAGTAACTATGTACTTCCCAGTATAAAGAAGTTTCATAATTTCTTTTGTACTTCTGTCTGGATTGAGCACCAAGCCACCACAGGCCTATGGAATGTGAAATAAAATTAGTTTTAGTTTCTTTTGTGAAGAGGTTTGTGTCCATAGATGTCTCAGAAAAGGGGACACCTTGGTCCTAGAGCAAGGCAAATACTATGTATTAGTAAAGACAGGGTAGTAACATTTTTTTTTAAATAGGTAATAAAAAACCTTCTTTTTTTTTTTAATGATAGGGAAAGTTTAATTAAAACTGATACATAGGCTTAGACTGGCTATTGCAGTCCTAATCTCACTTAAGGCAAAATTTATGATCCTAGTTTAGTGCAGTAAAATGTAGGTTAATCAGGGATGATGCTTCATTAATTATCTTAGGATGAAGAGATGCATAGTCTGCAAAGAACTGTACAAAAGGCACATTATCTGTTCATCAATACCTTTTGGCAGGGTATTAGAAAATATCTCTCTGTCAGGGCACTGATTTCTGAGCCTCCTACTAGGAACAATAGGGAAAAACAGCTCATCCAACTTTAATGCCTGTGATACAATGGGTGAACTTGATGATCTGAGAGGTTCCTGCCAATATTCTGTGTTAAAGAGGGCATGGTTTAACCAATATACCATTGAGCTGGCCTACATTTATGGAGAAAACGTAGTACACCCACATTAGTGTGATTTATGTCAGCAAATGTTTTTGTTAGAATCTTATGAGGAGCATCAAGGACAAAGTTACAGTGCCAGTAATCACTTTTCTTCTGGACAATCTTGAACAGACTCACACTCTTAAATGACCAGAGTATCAGTGAGTCTTCATAAAGGAACAGAAATAACCCCTAATGAAGAGAGATCCTGTACTTACATCAATTATTTGTTTCACAACAGGTGGGTACAAGCAGGAATAGATAGACATATAAAATAGCCTAACAGAAATGTGACGAATTCTGCCCAGTCCTATAGACATACGAGAGACACCAGGAAGTTTTGAAAGAACAGACTTTGAAGCAGAGGAAAGGTCCATCTGTATGAAGACATGGGAAAAAAATAATTTAAATGTTCGAAAAGTGTAAATTTAAATTACCTTAGTTCAATCATATAAAAAAATATGTGACTACTTTCCCTAAAAATTAATGTGACCTAGATCTGATTTAACATAATCTATTTCCTGGGTAAATTAAGTTAAACTGAATTAATTCTGAACCAAGAGGATTTACACAGCCATATAATAAAGTAAAAGTAATCTAGTTAATTGTCATTATTTTTGTCAAGTATACTGATATAAAGTCTAAGAACTGAGTATGTTTTGCAAGATTTGTACAACTAAAAATTTCTTACTAACAATACCTGCAAGCATGTAGAATGTATTCAACATATAGGACCAAATATCTCACAAAGACAGGATAGACTAGGACAGGAATATTTTAGCAGAGTATGTTTTGTTTTGAGGTTTCTTTTATTGTTGTTTTAGGGTTGGTTTGTTAAGTTGTTTTTTGGTTTGGTTTGGTTTGGTTTGGTGGGATTTTAAAAAAAAAATAATAAAAAAGCTACCCCCCCCAAAAAAAACCACAACCAGTACCCCAAACCAACACATAACAGCTTTCCTCTCCCCCCCAGAAAAGAACCCAAGAAAAAAACCACACAACCATAGCAACAAAAATAAAAAAGCCCCCAACATGACTTTTTTTATTTTGTTTTATTTTTAATATAGGTATTTGAAAACGGAGGTACAAAATAAAAGGAAAAGGGGACATACATTTCCAGTACAGTCACATAATGAAAACCAGAAATGAGAAAGATTAGAAAGAGAATTTGACCAGCTAAGAACTGTCAGTTCATGCAGTTAGTTTTTCCTAAAGGCCACATGTAAAGATGGGCGTGAATGTCAAAGAACATGTCGTGCAATGATCAATATGAATAGATCTGTTCATTCATCTTAGTAGCGGCTACATGCACCTCTGAATTACAGGACAAATCCTGTAATCTTGTCCTGCTATTAACAGCCTATTAAGAACACATTACGAAAGCCTTTCTAACTGATATTAATGTCAGAAGGAAACTCTAATTTTGAATTGTTTTAAAACATTACAGTACAACTTTGAATCAGAGAGCTATAAATTTTATCATACAAGAGAACTCATTCTGATCTCGTCTAAACCTTCCTCTATCACTAACTACCGTATTAAATCAATAAGTCTTAGAATCTCAAATTACTGTATTTGGGTTTGAGAGATTAGTGATATGTGTTTATATTATTCCTTAAGACAGTCCATTATTTCTGATTAATTTAATTAGGCCAGTAAATGGCCTTTTATCTCTGTAGTTCCAGTAGCTGCTTTGTCCTAACATTTGTTTGGGTTTATATTTAATAAATATCTCCTGCTTAACCCTTCAGCAGCAGCTTAAGATGGAGTGCTGGTAATGAACACAAATGGAAATAAAGACAGGAGAAAAACATTAAAATGAAATGGATTAAGTTGGCTGAGAAACGTGAAAGGCTCATGTAACAAATGATGCTAAAAGTGCATCAAGGCTAAATATATATAAAATTGAGTCAATTGGGTTACTTCTTCAAGGTCACACCTAGAGATATTATATTTATAGGTTTTGCTACTCAACTTGTTTGAATTAGTGAAGAGTAAAGCAATACTGCGAAGTAAAAGAGATTGCTAACTTCCAAACAATGGCACCATTTCTGTTGGACAATATAGAATCATAGAATAGTTAGGGTTGGAAAGGACCTTAAGGTCATCAAGTTCCAATCCCCCTGCCATGGGCAGGAACACCTCATATTAAACCATGTCAGGCAAGGCTCTGTCCAACCTGTCCTTGAACACCATCAGGGATGGAGCTCTCAGAAGTTCCCTGGGCAGCCCGTTCCAGTGCCTCACCACCCTAACAGGAAAGAACTTATTCCTTATATCCAACCTAAATTTTCCCTGTTTAAGTTTGAACCCATTACCCCTTGTCCTATTGCTACAGTCCCTGATGAAGAGTCCATCCCCAGCATCCGTATAGGCCCCCTTCAAATCCTGGAAGGCTGCTATGAGGTCTCCACACAGCCTTCTCTTCTCCAGGATGAACAGTGCCAACTTTCTCAGCCTGTGTTCATATGGGAGGTGCTCCAGTCCCCTGATCATCCTCGTGGCCCTCCTCTGGACTTGTTCCAACAGTTCCATGTCCTTTTTATGTTGAGGACATGAGAACTGTACATGATACTCCAAGTGAGGTCTCACGAGAGCAGAGTAGAGGGGCAGGATCACCTCCTTTGACCTGCTGGTCACACTCCTTTTGATGCAGCTCAGGATACAGTTGGCTTTCTGGGCTGCGAGCGCACACTGCTAGCTCACGTTCATTTTCTCACTGACCAGCTCCCCCAAGTCCTTCTCTGCAGGGCTGCTCTGAATCTCTTCTCTGCCCAACCTGTAGGTGTGCCTGGGATTGCTCCATCCCAGGTGTAGGACCTTACACTTGCCATGCTTAAACTTCATAAGGTTGGCATCAGCCCACCTCACAAGCGTGTCAAGGTCCCTCTAGATGGCATTCCTTCCCTCCAGCATATCAACCAGACCACACAGCTTGGTGTCATATATGCAACTGTTCTGTTTTCCAAAAAGTAGAGATTTTTGAAATCCCACGTTAAGTGACTCTTACAATGCTCTGCAGAAATTACATCTCAGCCACCATCTGTCTCCCAATTAACTGAGTGGAAAGAAATTATTTAATAAAATTTGTCTACTATTGACCTCATTAGTTGGTTTGTTTGAACCTGAATAGTGACTGGAAAGTAGGAGCAGTTTAGTAATAAGGACATAGTCTTCTGAGATAACTCTCTTAGATTTGGTTGATATTTTAAATTTCCTGCAGTTGAGATACTAATCCAAGGAAAGCTAATGCAGCTAATTTATACAGGTTTAGTTTATTGGGTAGTGGAAAATATAATGCTCAGCAGTATTTAATTCTTTCTTCAAAAGATTTCCAACAGATAAGGATTTTTTATTATCAAAGTTATGATAATATGAAGTTATCTAATATAAATGAAGCATCTAAAAGTGGTATGCAGCTTTGAGTTATAGTTGATTGCAATATTTAAAACATTCATAAATAAATTGTACTTGAAGTTTTCTGCATGTTTTTAACTTTTTTTTTTTTTTTTTAATGTAGTGTTCACAAGCAGACCAAGATGTTATGAAGCTGTGAAATTCACTGGGACATAAAAATTTTAAAACCATCAAGCTTTAACTTCACCCTAAATATTTTCTCAGCCTGAAGAGGGTAAGCAAACAATATCTTCCTCTTGCTCATGTCATTAGTGGTGACCATTTATGATATGAGCTTAAAAATGCACAAAGTACAATATTCAGCATCTTTGATCAAATGTCTGTTGAGTATCTTCTTGGTTGCTTGAACTTTGGATGTGTTATTTGCAGTTCAATAAACTTCATCCCTAGAACATAACAGTATTTTTTTAAGATGTAGTACAGATAAACATTGAACATTTTAATGGATAACGTATTTCTCACTTAAGAGGTTTAAGGCACCCAGTGGTGTTTTGTTGGCATTATTCCAAGTTCATGGTTGGCATTGTGAAAGTACTTACTTTATTTTAAGGAAACTTATACTTGCTGATTATATTTAATAGGTGGTGATTTTGTGGTTGGTTTGTAAATCATATTGGGAAATAGAACAGACATTTGCATAAAACATCTCACTGGAATGGAGAGAGATTGACATACAGCTAAATAACTGGGTTTTTCTGTGTGAATTGCAAGTATGCACTTGTGAATGTTTTCACCCATACAAAGGCTCTAAACAGGTGAAAGAATACAGTACTTAATGGCAGCATGTGGTAAGGAGTATGCAGCCAATGCGAAAGTAAGGGGCAGGAACTGAGCAACATTCCAACCAATAGATTTCATTTATAAATTTATGAAAAGAATTGCTGCTTTGAGATTACCTAAATACTCTTATTATTACACCCATGAAGATAGCTAGTCTTTGCATGTAATTTTTTCTTAAGAGGTCAAATGTTTATTTTCATATTTCATAAACAAAACAGTGTCTGAAATATGAATCACAGAGCAAATTTGCAATTGAGGTAAATCAGTCTGACTAAGCTGATGCCCATGGAGTTAAATCAAGTGACACACAGGTGTGTTGTCAGTGATTCATCTACCATTACATTTGTGTCATAGAATCATAGAATAGTTAGGGTTGGAAAAGACCTTAAGATTATTTAGTTCCAACCCACCTGCCATGGGCAGGGACACCTCGCACTAAACCATGTCACCCAAGGCTCTGTCCAACCTGGCCTTGAACCCCACCAGAGATGGAGCATATGAAACCTCCCTGGGTGACCTGCTCCAGTGCCTCACCACTCTAACAGTAAGGAACTTCCTCCTTATATCCAATGTAAACTTCCCTCTTTTAAATTTTAACCCATTACCCCTTGTCCTATCAATACAGTCCCTGATGAAATACAGTCCATCCCCAGTATCCCTTGAGATACTGGAAGGGTGCTAACAAGGTCTCCATTCAGCCTTCTCTTCTCCAGGCTGAACAGCCCCAACTTTCTCAGCCTATCTTCATACGGGAGGTGCTCCAGCCCCCTGATCATCCTTGTGGCTCTTGCCTTGACTTGTTCCAACAGTTCCATGTCCTTTTTATGTCGAAGACCCCAGAACTGCACACGATATTCCAAGTGACGTCTCACGAGAGCAGAATAAAAAGGCAGGATCACCTCCTTCGACCTGCTGGTCACGTTCCTTTGGATGCAGCCCAGGATATGGTTGGCTTTCTGGGCTGCGAGCACACACTGTCGGCTCATGTTCATTTTCTCATTGACCCATGCCCCAAACTGTTTCTCTGCAGTGCTGTTCTGAATCTCTTTGTTGCCCAACCTGTAGCTGTGCCTGGGAATGCTCCAACCCAGGTGTAGGACCTTGCACTTGCCATGGTTAAATTTCATAAGGTTGGCATCAGCCCACTTTACAAGCTTTTCGAGGTCCCTCTGGATGGTATTCCTTCCCTCCAGTGTATCAACTGAACCACACAGCTTGGTGTCATCGGCAAACTTGCTGAGGGTGCACTCAATCCCGTTGTCCATGTCAGCAACAAAGATGTTGAACAAGACCGGTCCCAACACTGATCCCTGAAGGACACCACTCGTTACTGGTCTCCAGCTGGACACTGAGCCATTCACCACAACTCTTTCCATATGGCCATCCAGGCAGCTCTTTCTCCGCCAACTGGTCCACCTATCAAACTGATGTCTCTCCAATTTAGAGACAAGGATGTCATGTGGGACAGTGTCCAGGTAGATTATATCAACTGCTCCATCCCTGTCCATCAGCTCCATAGCCCTATCATAGAAGGCCACCATACTGGTCAGGCAGGATTTCCCCTTAATGAAGCCATGCTGGCTGTCACCAATCACCTTGCTGTTTTTCATGTGCCTTTAGCATGCCTTCCAGGAGAATCTGCTCCAAGATTTTGCCAGTCATGGCAGTGAGACTGAGTGGTCTGTAATTTCCTGGGTCATCCATTTTCCCCTTCTTGAAAATGGGGGTTATATTAGCCTTCTTCTAGTGTCCTCAGTTCAGCAGTAGCAGTCATTTTTCTCCATCTTACTAGTTGGTGCAGTGCTGTGTTTTTGACTTTCAGCCTGGGAACAGTGCTTATAACACTGATGTTTTTAGTTGTTGCTAAGTCATGTTCAGTCTGACCAAGGACTTTCTGAGACTCATGCTCTGCCAGGGAGGAGGGGAAGCTGGGAGGAAGCAGAGATAGGACACCTGACCCAAACTAAGTAAAGTGGTATTCCATACCACAGCACGTCATGCCCACTATATAGACTGTGGGCAGTTACCCAGAAGCACTCGATCACTGCTCGGGTCGGGCTAAGTGTCAGTCAGCAGGTGGTGAGCAGTTGTATTCTCTTCCCTTGTTATCTCCCTTATCATTATTATTATTGGTGGTAGAAGTAGTGGTTTGTGTTATAGTTTAGTTACTGGACTGTTCTTATCTCAACCCATGGGAGTTGCATTCTTGCAGTTCTCCTCCCTATATCTCCTGGATCTGGGGGGAGGAAGAGGGGGAGTGAGCAAGCGACTGCATGGTTCTAAGTTGCTGACTGGACTTAAACCACGACAGTTCTTTTTGGTGCCCAACGTGGGGCACAAAGGGTTGAGGTAGTGACAGATCTAACGTGTCTAATGTGTCTAATTGTATTCAATAAGCATTTTTTTTTTTTTTGCATTAATAGTCACTCATTATAATGCTGATTTTTTGGCTCTCAAAATTGTTGCTCTTGATCTCACAGTTTCAGCATATCGTACCTTACTTACAACAGGTATATGCTGTCTTAGTGTTTATCGGCTGGGGGCCTTGGCCTAAGGTTCTTGTTTTACTATACTTTATGGTAATGACTTGTAATACAATATAATCATTGATCATGAAACTGATCTGTCTTGCATTCCCAGTGTGGTCACCACCTCTATACTTTGGGAGGTATATATTAGAAGTGTTTAGCAATTACACATCTTTTTTCTCCTCCTCAGGTGGTCAGCCTATGAGGGAGACATTCCCACACACCCTAGTGACAAGTACATCAGCTACTCAAACTCTGACTACAACAGGTAACGCAGCTACTCTAACTCCAAGCACAGCAGCTACACCAGCCCCAGTGACAAGTACAGCAACATCATTTGAGTGTTCTGAAGGTTTTGAATGGCCTTTGGGTACCCCTGAGACCTTCCTGCTGATCGTGATGGGGATCACCATGTTGGCATACATACAGAGTGTGTTTTATCCGTGACCATTTCATCTGATCTTGAAAGTTAAACGGAGTAGGGTTTGGGTCTTGTCTAGGATTAGACAATGATATAAAACAACCAAGAGTTTTTCCCTGAGGCTGGACAGTCATGAGTGGCAGGCTGTGTGCAGCAGTATGGGCAAGTACCTAGTCCACTGGGCCCCTTCAGTCCTTTGGAAGCATCAGAGATGGAAGGCAGATGTATGGAGTCCCCAGCAAATAGTTGCAGAAACTGCTGAAGGGGAGGGTGAATTATGTTGAGCCTGGTGGGCCCACGACACCTCAGGCCATCAGGGCAGAGAAGCAACATATAGATGGACTCATGATAGAAGGGTGGACTAAGCAATGGACACTATTGCCCAGGATACTCATGAGTGTGAAACGTGCTGCAATTAAGCAAGCCAAGCAGTTAGTGCCTCTTTGGTATGGAGGCCTGGCAGATTGACTACGTCACACTCTCTCTTCTGCTCTGAAAGACCATTACAAGAGATGGAGCCTGACATCATGGACCGGATGGACTCAGCAACTTTATAGGGATTGGTCCATGTACTAAGAAATGATCTCTCTCTCTCCCTCTGTGGATGTATGTATATGTATATATATGAGAGAAGAGTGATGGCATACTGAAAATGTGGTATCTGAGCATGGTGTGAATGGTATGGAATAAGAGGTGAATACTGTCCTGGATTCAGAAGTAGCAGTCATTTTTCTCCTTCTTACTAGCTGGTGCAGTGCTGTGTTTTTGACTTTCAGCCTGGGGACAGCACTGATAACACCAATGTTTTTAGTTGTTGCTAAGTCATGTTTACTCTGACCAAGGATTTTCTGATTCTCATGATCTGCTACGGAGGAGGGGAAGCTGGGAGGAAGCAAAGATAGAACACCTGACCCAAACTAACCAAAGAGGTATTCCATACTACAGCATATCATGCCCACTATATAAACTGAGGGCAGTTACTCAGAAGGGTTAGATCACTGCTCGTGTCATGCTGGGTATCAGTCAGAGGGTGTTAAGCGGCTGTATTCTGTTCCCTTGTTATTTCTCTTATCATTATTATTATTGGTGGTAGCAATAGTGGTTTGTGTTATACCTTAGTTACTGGACTGTTCTTATCTCAACCCATGGGAGTTACATTCTTTTGGTTCTCCTCCCCATCCCTCTGGGAGCAGGAGGGAGGAAGCGGAGGAGTGAGTGAGCAACTACGTGGTTCTGAGTTACTGACTGGACCACGACATTGAGTTGTCAGGAGCTTCACCTGACTGCCATTATTTTTCAAATATGATGAACAGTGGCTTAGCAACTTCATTCACCAGCTCCTTCAGGACCCACGGATGGATTTCATCAGGTCCCATGGACTTGTGTACGTTCAGGTTCTTAAGATGGTCTTGAACCAGATCCTCTTCTACAGTGGGCCCAAGGTCTTCATTCTCAAGGTCCTTGTGTCTGCCTTCCAGGACTTGGGTGGTGTGGTCAGAGCATTTGCCAGTGAAGACTGAGGCAAAGAAGTCATTCAGAACCTCAGCCTTCTCTAAATCCAGGGTAGGCAGTTCTCCTGATAGCTTCTGGAGGCGGCCTAAGTTGTCCCTAGTCTGTCTTTTATTCTCTACGTACATATAGAATCCCTTCCTGTTATCCTTAACATACTTAGCCAAGTTTAATTCTAACTGGGCCTTAGCTTTCCTACCTGGTCTACCAGGCCACCTGTCCTTGCTTCCACCTTTCATAAGCCCCTTTTTTCATTTGAATTTTTCTCAGCAGCTCCTTATCTAACCAAAGAGGTCTCCTGGCCCTCCTGCTGCACTTCCTTCTAGCTGGGATGCAAGACTCCTGAGCTTGTGATCATTGAATATCAACCAAGAGTCTTGGTCCCCCCTGCCCTCTAGGGCTATATCCTATGGAACCTTACTAAGCAGGTTCCTGAAGAGGCCAAAGTCTGCTCTCTTGAAGTCCAGGGCAGTGAGCTTACTGCACGCTCTTCTCACTGTCCTGAGGACCTTGAATTCGACCACAACCCCAGGTTCCAGTATAGATTGGGGAACGACCTGTTAGAGAGCAGTGTAGGGGAGAGGGACCTGGGGGTCCTGGTGGATGACAGGGTGACCATGAGCCGACACTGTGCCCTTGTGGCCAAGAAGGCCAATGGCATCCTGGGTTGTATTAGAAGGGGGGTGGTTAGTAGGTCGAGAGAGGTCCTCCTTCCCCTCTACTCAGCCCTGGTGAGACCTCATCTGGAATATTGTGTCCAGTTCTGGGCCTCTCAGTTTAAGAAGGACAGGGACCTGCTGGAGAGAGTCCAGCGCAGGGCAACTAAGATGATTAAGGGAGTGGAGCATCTCCCTTATGAGGAAAGACTGAGGGAGCTGGGTCTCTATAGTTTGGAGAAGAGGAGACTGAGGGGTGACCTTATTAGTGTATATAAATATATAAAGGGGGAGTGTCACGAGGATGGAGCCAGGCTCTTCTCAGTGGTAAACAATGATAGGACAAGGGGAAATGGGTCAAACTGGAACACAAGAGGTTCCACTTAAACTTGAGAAGAAACTTCTTCTCAGTGAGGGTGACGGAACACTGGAACAAGCTGCCCAGGGAGGTTGTGGAGTCTCCTTCTCTGGAGACATTCAAAAACTGCCTGGACACGTTCCTGTGTAACCTTATCTAGGTGTTCCTGCTCCGGCAGGGGGATTGGACTAGATGATCTTTTGAGGTCCCTTCCAATCTCTAACATACTGGGATACTGTGATACTGTGATCTCATGATTGCTGCAACCAAGGCTGCCCTGGAGCTTCAGATTTCCAATGAGCCCTTTCCTGTTGGTGAGCACAAGCTCAAGCTTGGCACTTTTCCTTGTCAACTCCTCTATTACTTGCAGAAGGAAGTTGTCTTCCACACAATCAAGGAACCTCCTGGATTGCTTGTGCCAGCCATACTGTCACTCCAACAGATATCACAGTGGTTGAAGTTCCCCATGAGAGCAAGTGCTTGCCTCAGGCTGTTCCTATCAGTCTGTAGTGCTCATCATCCGCAGATTCCTCTTGGCCAGGTGGTCTGTAACAGATCCCCACAATTATGCCTCCCATCGCTGTTCTCCCTTTAACCCTGACCCACAAACTCTCTGTTGACTGCTCACCTGTTCCCAGACAGAGTTCCGTACTCTCCAGCGTATCCCTAACATAAATAGCAACTCCCCCTCCCTATCTGCCGAACCTGTCTTTTCTAAAGGATCTGTAACCTTCCATCCCAACACTCCAGGCATAGGAGCCATCCCACCATGTTTCTGTAGTGCCTATTATATCATACCCCTGTGGATGTGCACACATCTCTAATTCCTCTTATTTGCTCCCCATGATACAGGCATTTGTATAGCGGCATCTGAGCTGAGCTCCAAATGAAGCTGGCTCATTGGTTGAAGCGGCTGGAATATTTCTACATTGCTCCAAGAATTTATTATAGGTGTTGGCAGCTGACTGGGTGTTCTGGGATGGAATATGATGCCCCCTTCCCCAGCACATCTAGTTTAAAGCATTCTTGAGCAGCCTGGTAAGCCTTCTACCAAAACTGCTCTTCCCCTTCATTTTCAGACCAGCTCCACCAGCCCCCAGTTCACCTGGCTTACTAACTTGGGTCCCTTGTTCAAGCCACCCAAACCTCTGACTATGGCACCACCCTTCTAATCATTTATTAACCTGGCCAATCCTCCTAGCCTGCCAGCAGTGTCAGTGGTTAATAGTAAATGGATGACAGCAGCAGTAAGTTTGTGTTGGTAATTCAAAATGCTCTCTTGCCTTTTATTAGTGAGCTGTTGAGACTATTAATAGTAGTAAGTTTGTTACTTATTAAGTTATAAAACTGCTTATTCTTTTAAGAAGAACATTCTTCATAATCTGTTTGTGTATTTTCTTATTGTATAAATAAACAAAGGTTCTCAAGAGTCCCAAGTTCTTAGATCCAGTTTCATAGTAAGGAAGCACACTCCTGAGACATATTCTGTGATTTTTGTAACATATGTATGTTTTACATATATATATATGTTGTACAGAATTAGTGTGATCAAAACTTAAAAATTCACACAAGTTTTCCAGAATTTCAGACCATTAGTCTGCCCTTTCTGGTACAACATAGCATGTTCTAATTTCCACTCAATGTAGGTGTATTTCTTCTACTCAGTTTTTTGAAAGCTGAAAGAGTAAACTTAGGAATCTACATATGCACATTTCTATCTATAATGCACAGTTATAAAGTTACATTTTAATAATATACTTGGTTCGGCTTTTCTCCTTAGCACTGAACCCTAGAAAATAGTTCACTATCAATATTTGCTTATCATCAGTGCATGGTATCTATTAGGAAGTGGTGGCTAGACATCAGTGCTGTTAGGCATAAAATGGGCAAAAAAACCTATGATACCTGAATGCTCCAGCCATCTGTCCTCTGCCAGTTTGGAAAAGCATTCCTCTCCTCCTTGGTCTTTCTGCAAAACAGAACAAAAAGCATCTATTAATATGGGTTCTCTGGATTACTGAAATCAAATAGTATTTATCATGGACATTTGTTTTGAACAGATTGCAGCAAAGAATCCTGATTTTTTTTTTTTTTGTCTAAAACAGTGCTGTACCCATGTACTTTAATACGAATCCACCTGTTTGGTCTAAACTGAATTGTAAACTTATTAAAAAACAAGTGTGCAAAATAGACACAGAAGGCACTTCTGATAAATCATAGGGTAATAGAAACAGATGACAAAGTATTGAAAAGAAATCTGTATGGTATATAAATTCAATGGCTAATATATTGTCAAAAGTCTATTTATAAAGAAGAGTTTTGCTTCAGTGTTGATAATAAAAAAATTAGAAATCCAGTTTGGTTCAAATTTAATACAATACCTTTGCTTGTTTTCATGTTATAGAAACCAATTAACCTCACCTTGCAGGTTTTTTTTCTTTAAAGCTTTTTGTGTAGGAGATACAAGGGGACATCACTTATCTGTCTGTTATGACAGATCTTAAAACTAAAGCCATATACTACTGCAACTGAGTTCATTGACTGTCATCAGCTCAACTATGTTCCCCAGTAAAATCCTCCAGTTTTGCACCATCTCCTTTCACCAATTATAGAGGTTCTTTGACTTAACTAGAATTAATTTTCATAAATCTTCTCCATTATGCTATATTTGTATTTTCTTGAAAGATCTGTCACAAAACTTCTAGCAGATGTTCTGTAGAACTGCCATGTTTCAGTTTCAATCTTACCCAGTTATCTCAAATATAACCCTGCCAATGTTAGTACAAAAACATGTAGTTTAGAGGAAAATATTCCCTCTAACTTCTTAACAACCCTTAATTGCTCTGTATGCTTACTGTTACCAGAGAGAAAAAAGTTACCTGGGAATGACTTCTTGATAGGCAAAGGCAGATCATTATCTCTGTGAGTCTAGAAGGCAAACTTTTTTTTTTGCTTGAATTAATGAAGTATTGTCACTCTGCTTGCGCAGAAGAAAAAAGAAAATATCAAGAATTAAAAATAAAACTCTTCACAAGCCTGTAAGGGTGTCCTGGGTTTAGCAGTAGCAGTCATTTTTTCTTTCTCTTGGTAGCTGGTGCAGTGCTATGTTTCGAATTTCGGGCTGGGAACAGAGCTGATAAAAATGATGTTTTGGTTTGGCCAAGGACTTTGTGAGACTCATGCTCTGCCAGGGAGGAGGGGAAGCCGGGAGGAAGCAGAGACAGGACACCTGATCCAAACTGACCAAAGAGGTATTCCATACCACAGCACGTCATGCCCAGGAGGTACCCGGAAGGACAGGGGATCTGCTGGGTTGGACTGGTTGTTCGGCAGGTGGTATTGTACTCTTTTCCCTTGTTATTATCTCTTATCATTGTTGTCGTAGGTGGTAGCTGTGGTGATTTGTGTTGTACATTGGTTGCTGGGCTGTTCTTATCTCAACACGTGGGAGTTGCATTCTTTTGATTCTCCTCCCCATCCCTCTGGGATCGGGGAAGGGGGGGACCAGGGGGGGATGTGGGACTTGACTGCTTCCAGCCCGGCACCACTCACTGGGAGTGAGTTCACAAGCTGTCTGGCTGGGTTTAAACCAAGACAAGGGTTTCTGAACTGCATGCTACAGTGCTAAAACAGTGCTTCTGCCAGTGTTCATCAAAAATATTTCCTTATTTTCCTATGTGCCAGTTATAATCAATAACTAGTGTTGGTAGCTATTCAAAGTATTTATACCTCTTAAGCCTTTTGTAGAAGTATTTAATGAATAAAGTAGATGGTGCCATGTCTTACTTGAAGCAGATAGGCGGTAGTTTCCTTGGTCAAAAACTTGTATTTCCTTAAATTTTTTCATTTCAATCATGCAGATTATTTTATGATACAACTGTCTTGGCAATACTGTAAAGGTATTACTTGTATAACCATTCTACAAAGTATGATGGATTATGACTGTGGAATTTGTACTTTATCTCTGCTGGACTGCTTTAGCAGTAACTAGAGGTTTGACTGCATCATGGTCACAGAATGCTTTCATAAATAAATAACCTTTATTAAAATGTGGTTCTATGGCTTTTCATTCACAGTGCAGCAGGATCCAGCTATGTTTACTGAGGCTACTATGTATATGTTAATATCTCAATTTGAGTATGTTAAAAAAAATTGTACTGTATATGGAAAAGAAAACATTCTTTCACAACAGTAAATCAGAGAGGCTTCACTAAGAAAACCAAGTGTTGATTGAGCACTGATCCTCATGATGACATCAAGCATTTGGAATGCCAGTTTCCAGGCTGTTAATTAGGATCTGACCTCAAGTTTTTTGTGTATCTGTATTGGTCCTTCAGGAACCATACCCCAAAGATCCTGAGAGAATATGTAAGCTGTAATTATGCCTCTGTTAAAACTCATTTACTCTCTTGCCACAGCACTGGTCTGAGTTATAAATAGAATAAATTAATCAATTCTTCTCCACCTAAAACTTTGTTTCTTTTGTTGTGTACCCTTTCAGCTTGTAAGTTTTCTTTTAACAATCACAGCAGGAGAAAGTGCAGGCTTTAGTAGTCTATATAGGGTCTAAACTAGGGAAAATGATTCAGGGTTATGTGACCACATCAACATTGTGCTACTTCATAGCAGATTTTGAAGCTCTTTTGTGGTATGCTATCATTTTTGAGCCTTGAAGGGGAGAAAAAAAAAAAAAAGGAAAAAAGCAGTGAGGGCACAGAAGTGATTTGATGTCTTATTACTACTGAAAAGCCTCAGCCAGAAACCTGCCTCACCAAAATTAATTAATATTTGTACTAAGAGTTTTGATGTAAGGTTCTACACTTCAGTGTACACACACCCCAGTTGCAGCTAAACTTAGAACCATACAATCATAGAATCATAGAATAGTTAGGGTTGGAAAGGACCTTAAGATCATCAAGTTCCAACCCCCCTGACAGGGGCAGGGACACCTCACACTAAACCATGTCACCCAAGGCCTTGTCCAACCTGGCCTTGAACACTGCCAGGGGTGGAGTATTCATAACCTCCCTGAGCAACCTATTCTAGTGCCTCACCACCCTAACAGGAAAGGATTTCCTCCTTATATCCAATCTAAACTTCCCCTGTTTAAGTTTTAACCCATTACCCCTTGTCCTATCACTACAGTCCCTAATGAAGAGTCCCTCCCCAGCATCCCGGTAGGCCCCCTTCAGATACTGGAAGGCTGCTATGAGGTCTCCACGCAGCCTTCTCTTCTCCAGGCTGAACAGACCCAGCCTTCTCAGCCTATCTTCATACGGGAGGTGCTCCAGTCCCCTGATCATTCTCGTGGCCCTCCTCTGGACTTGTTCCAACAGTTCCATGTCGTTTTTTATGTTGAAGACACAAGAACTGCACACAGTACTCCAGGTGAGGTCTCACGAGAGCAGAATAGAGGTGCAGGATCACCTCCATCGACCTGCTGGTCACACTCCTTTTGATGCAGCCCAGAATACGGTTGGCTTTCTGGGCTGCAAGCGCACACTGACAGCTCATGTTCATTTTCTCATTGACCAGCTCCCCAGAGTCCTTCTCCTCAGGGCTGCTCTGAATTTCTTCTCTGCCCAGTCTGTAGCTGTGTCTGGGATTGCATCAAATTAAAGATAAAATTTTAGGATCTTTATATTGAATCTATCACATACTGACTGAAAAAAAAAAAACCCTGAACCCCAAACCCTCTTTGTACCCCACTGAAGGTTCTTCTGCCATGCAAAGTGACGGTCAGAGCACAGTTGTGTGCTTGAGCTACCACAAAACCCTTTTAGCACAGAATGTAACACTGCTAATGCTACTGTGTAGTCCTGAATTCAATGTCCAGGCCTTTTCAGATTAGTAAATAATCCCACACGTAAAACAAAGTTAGGTCATCATATTTGTTATTGCCCTGAAGTGAATAGCAGAAGAACTACTAAATGACCAGCCACTTGCTGCAACGTGTTAGAGAGGTGTGTTTTCTATACTTTATATGCAATAAAAGATATGGTTGAAATGCAAGACCACATTGGTTTGATTCCCTGAACCCAGAGGCTTGGGGCTGTTTGTATCTTTTTCCTTTTCATGTTAAATATGGGTGTCCTCATCCAGTTTCCCATTTCTTTTTTTTTTTTTTCATGATGCGTTAGTTAATTTTTATTTTTATTTTTTTTAATCTTTGCATAGGCAAAGGCTTTTAAAGCAATATCTCATTCCCTTTGTACTTTCTTTACACATCCAACACACATTCACACCATAGCTGTAACTGTCTAGAGAATAATGATTCAGTGCATGAAAACTCTCAGTGTATGACATTTGTTTTTATTCTGCATGGAAACTAAATCAAAACAATCTTCAAACTTAAAAAAAAAAAAAAAGTGTCAAAACAGATGTTTTAAGAGGGTTTAAACCACAACAGGAATCTAACAATGTTTTTAGCTTTTCTTTCTGTCTGTCTTAGTGTCTGCAAAAGTAATAAGAGAAATATGCATCTGAAAGATTGCCCGCATAAAAGTACATTGAAACTAAACCACTTCTATTAAAATATCCTAGCATTGAGGGTGAATAGTTAAATCAAAATAGTTAAATCAATTCCACTAAAATGTTGTAGTTTTGAGGGTGAATGATTAAATCAAAATATATTAATGTTCCTATTAGGTATGTCTATAAACACTTCGTAACACATGCTCGTACTTTTTCCCCACAACAGACATACCACAAGTATCTATTTCAGTATAAACATACTAAACTATTCATAGAAACATAAATATATTTGTGAACACAAGACAGTCATTTACACTTTAGTATACCTACAAATTTAACACACATGTAATGTGTAAAGAAATTCATCAGCTTATGTGTCAGCTTCCTGGCAGACACGTACTTTGCACCTTTTCTCACTGGTAATAGGAGTCACCTAAATAATGTAAGGTAGAAGTACAATAGCAGTATCTAGTGTAGCCAAATTCTGCTGTAAAGAACAGCATAATTCTCCCTAATGTTTCTTGAGTAGTGAGATCAACATCCAAAGACTTGATCATCTAAGAGATACAGGCCAAGTTCTGTTACTTGAATAAATGACAGACTTTGAAGCAAAGCATTTCCTTGTTATTAACTTATAATCCAGATCATGTCTTTATAAAGCAGTATTCTCTATTCATTTTCTTATTTGTCCATTTAAGCAGCGTTTGTCCATTGTGATGGAAGTGAGGGTGAGTCTACTTCTTAGCTGTTCTACAGTGTTTTTGAGGACTTTGTTCTTTCCAGGAGCTTACTGCTAAAGGGCTTCCCTGCTACAGTAGGAATTGTATCCTGTTTTGGTAGTGTGGAGGAATTAGCAATGCTCCCTCTCAAGCACAGCTAAGCTATATAAACAGCAGTCTGAGAAGTTTCAAAAAAATGAAAATAATCATACTGTCTACTAGAGTTCCTGGTTTGAGCAGGAATAAAATACTGTTTTCTTAAAGGAAAATTCACATGAAAATTGTTGCAGTTAGAAAATGTGGTCTAAACATAGATTTTTAACTGGTAGAATGCAGTTGGCCAAGATTTTCTTTTTTTTCCTTTAAACAGATACGTGCAATTATGTGCCTAGTTATATCAGTTCTAGTTCCTAAAGAAGAATAAATAAACTGGAGTAGTGAAAGCAATTACATACCATCATGCCATCAATCATAGCCACACTTACGGGATTGCACTACATAAGTCTTTTGATATAGTCATAACAGTACAACTCTTTTGTATAAACAGAGCCTTTTAGAATATAGCAAGCACCCTGCTGCTCTGTACTTGTTACTGGGATTACTGGCCCCTTCTGACAGAGCCTCCACAATATTTGTAGTAATTCTGCTTGCATTTTATTACTTCCTGTTCCTATCAGAGCTAAGTAGAGAAGTTGTGAAGAAGAAAACATTAAAAATAATTAAATTCGTTATTTAGTAAGTGTATTATAACCTCTTAAAATGTTGGTTTAC